GTTAAAAAGTAGATTTTTTTTTGGAAAATTTTTGGAAAATTTATAGTTTTCGATTGAATTTTTCGATGACTTTTTGGTGAGATTTTCAGATTTTGATAAGTTTCCCAGTTTTCAACTTTAGTTTACAAAAAATTAGTGAACTTTTAGCAAACATCCGGTGACTCAACCCAAATTCCAGTGAGATTTCTAGAATTCGGTGAAGAATTCAATTGGAGTTCATCAATTCTAGAGAGAGGGAGAGAGGAAAAAAAAGGAAAAAGAGAGGGGAAAGAAAATCTGAGGGAAAAAAATAAAATTTGATCTTTTATAGCATCCTTAAATGACGTTATTTTTGAGTTAAAACGTCCTCAGGATCCACGTGTTTTTTTATTCAAGCCGACTTGACTCGAGCGCTCGACCCACCTTCGACCCGTGGACCCATCCTTGGCTCAAGCTGAGTTAAGCTATGAGCCATGTTGTTACAGCCACTGTGCCTACCTGAAGCTGAGCCACGCCGCAACCACTGAGCTAAGTTGATCAATTACCCAATGATGGATTTTTAAAAATTTCAAATGATAAATTTTTTAAGAAATCTCTAGGTGAGAAATTTCTCTAAATTTATCCTAAATGGTGAAATAATTTAGATGAAATTTCAATAAAAGTAATTGTTTTCTTTTCCAAATAAAAATTTTTGTTGAAAATATTTGACAATTATCTAAGGATGAGAATCTTAGAAATTTCAAATAGTAAATTTCTTAAGAAATCTCTAGGTGAGAAATTTTTTTAATTTTGTCCCAAATGGTAGAAGAATTTAAATGAAATTTCAAGAAAATAGTTGTTATATTATTTTCTTTCAAAAGAGAAATAATTTTTTTTTTTAAATAGACTCAAATAGTGAAAAATTTAGAAATAAAAAAATTTTTCTAAATAAGCTCAAATGGTGAAAAATTTAAAAATTAAAAAGAGAATATATTTTTAATTTGGCCTAAATGGTGGAATAATTAAATATACTTTTAATAAAAAACAAAATAAAAAAATTAAATCTTTTTTCGATAACAGAACCTCTTTAAGAAAACAAATGAGATTCTTGAATACTTTTGAAATGAAGACATAATTTTTAAAAAATCTATCAGATTGATAGAAAATCTTAAAAATTATTTTCAATATTAAAATTATGACCATTAGCATCAAGACCTTAAGATAATTTCAAATAAAATGGTACCGTCCTTTGGATAGATATGTGATGATGCTATAATCTTTTTCATATGTAATTAAACTCCTGAACCTTATTTTGAGACCAGAACCTATTCTTTTAGGCTTTTAGTCAAGGTTAAGAGTTCCTTAAAATGATAGATTCATTAGGTGACTAATTACACATAGCTAAAAAAGATTAATGATGACTCTATTTGTTAAATCTAGCTATAGATTTATTGATCTATATGTTATGACATTGATTCTAAGATATATTATACGAGTAAATTAAGGTAGAAATTGATGTTCAAATAGTGAGATTGAGCCTAAACAAACATGGATCATATCGATATGTACTATGCATAAACTTATACAAATTATGGAGATCTCTAATAATTATGATTAGTGCACAATTTTATTGATAATGTTATTTAATTGAGATGTTTCAATGAAAAAAATACCTTAAATAATTGACGTTAATGATTATTTAAGGTGTTATAAGAACTAAACACCATAATTGATATCATTTAAGGTATTTTTGATGATTATTTAATGTATTTTTTAATAAAAAAGACCTTAAATTATCATCAATTATGATATTTTTTCAACTCAAATGCTTTAAATGATTTACAATTAAGGAATTTTTTCATGCTAAATGCTATCAATTACAATATAAAAAAAATTTAGTAACAAAAAATCTAAAACTGAGTTTTAGTCACTTTTAGATATGTTTTTTTAAAAAATAATGACTATTTAATAATTTTTTTATTTAAATCAAATTTAAAAATAAAATAAAATTTTTTTTGAAATCTTAAACTAACATAAGGAGAGATGAATTTTTAATTTTAAAATTTTAAGTATTTTTAAAAATTTATAATTTTCTCTTGTAATCAAATTATTTTGAATAAAATATAAAAATCAAATATTTATCATCAAAAATAAAAAAAAAATTAAAAAATTTCCTTAACTGAACGCACTATAAGAGATTTTTAATAGCATCCTCATCTCGAGTGAAGCAACTACGGGGGCTAGGGTGTTGGGGAGGGTCCAATTGCTGAACATATTAATTTTAGGTGTTAAATTATTTCGTAAGAAAGTCAAGCAGAGGACTGACACAGTCAATGGAAATTTCCCCCGTAGTAATTGTGTCTGCTCTAACAAAACAACACTTTAAATACCCTAATCAATGGACATAGCTACTCATTGTCCTTGAAAACTCACCTCCCTTGTTTCCTCATTTATTACCAATCTCTCTCTATCTGGGAAGTGAACTTCTGTGGCCAAAATTATTGAAATCGACGCTTCATTCATGCTTTTCATCTTTACTTTTGTCAAGCGAGTACTTTCTCCGTCTTTTTTCTTTTTTTGTTTTTTTTAGATTAATCAAAATTATTTTCTATTTTTTTAATATTTAAAATTCTTATTTTTTGTATTTTAAAATTGTTTTGTATTTTTTTATATTTTTGACATCAAAAGCATAGAATTTTAATTTTATAAAAAAATTTAAAATTTAATATTAAATACATTAAAATTAATTTTTTTAAAATTTTGTAAAAATCAATACATAATAAATATTTTAAAACAAAAAAAAAGCGAAATGAAATTTATATTTTTTTATTCTGTCCAATTCTATAGTATCCAAATGTTATACCATTTTTTCATTTAAGAATATGAGTTTGTTCAACGTACTGCTGTAGACTTTATTAATTTGTACAAATAGTAATAATAATTAATTAATCAATTTTCACTTTATGACGTTGAATTTATCTCTTTATTATGTCATCATGAAAATAAATTTTTATTTTTTGTTTTTTGTTTTTGTGTTTTAATCTTCAGCTGATTCTGTAATATGATGTTGAATTGAGATTTTAATTAAACTCATGTTTTGTCTTTTTTTCTTCTAAATGTCAACTAAGCTTTCTGTTATATATATATATATATATATTTTGTACTATTTAAAAGAAATTTGATCATTAGTAACAAAGTTTTTTAGAGTATTTGTACAAATTAATGTTGCAAATACTTTTTTTTTTTTTTTTACAGTATAAAAGATATTGTATTGCAATTGAATGTTACAAGATACGTTTCATAACAAACATATAAATTGTTACAAATGCTTTTCTGAATACTACTATTTGAAGCATCTTCTAATAATTTATAACACTTTTTTAGCATAGAAGCCTTATGTTGCAATAGGTGTTGCATACTAATTTTTTTTTAACAAAAAAGGTCATAAAATTTGCTACAAAATACCTTTCGTAACTAACAATATTTGAAACATCTTTCAAGAAAATATAAAATTTCGTTACTAAAAATCACTTTTTATACTAAATTTATAAGGAGGAGCAACATTTTCAATTTTTTAATAATTAAGAGCATACTTGAATTAATTTATACATGTTCTTTTAAAAGTATGTGTTAAGAACAATTGCGTGCCATACCATACTTATATCTCATTCTTTTTTTATTTGGAAGAAATTAAGATAGCTTTGAATACAATTCTTTAAGTAAGAACCATATGTATTTACTATTGAGTTAAACGTTTTGGCGCAATTATATTTCATTCTCAATAGTGTTTTAATAGAAAGATAAATTTATAATTTATTTATTGTTTTTTATTTCATGAATTTGTGAGAATTATACAATGCATTAAATGAAAAACATTTTTAAAATAAAATTTTAATTTTTCTTAACAAATCCTATGCATAAAATTTTGGTCCTGTACGGATGAATAGTACATGAGCAAAGGGTGTCACATGGCAGTTGCTTTTTTCTTTTCTTTTTGTATTTTCATTTTTTGCTAAAATTTTTTATATTTAATAAATATTTTTAAAATATTTTATTTTTTTAAAAATGAGACCCACTTTATTCAGAACTTTCTTTTTTTTTTTTTAAGGATTTTAGATTTTTTTATGAAACCGGTTTGATACTAAAGATATGCTATATGTTTATATTTTTTATTATATTTTATTTTTATATATTTAATAAATATTTTTTAGATTTTAAATTTTTTGTATGGTATTCCATGTATCAAGTTATTTTTTTAATTTTTAATTTTTTAAATATTTATAAAATTTTTATAATATCTTACGTTGAGATGGGTTAAGTAGGCATTTGATAATTTTGTCTTCCAACAATATACCTTATGGCAGGTCGAGTTCTTTAAAGAGAAATGAACTTGAGAGTCGGGTTGGAAATATATTTAAGGTGTTTTACTTGACTCATTTTGAGGTGTATATAAAAATATATTTTTTATTATTTATTTAATTATATATATATTATAGTAAGAAATTTAATTTTATTTTAATTTAAAAAATTAATATTTTAAACTTAGTATGAGATGTCAATATAAAATCCTCTATGAGCTATTTTTTTTCTCATTTTTTGTTTTTTCATTTTTTTCCTTTTTTATTTTTGGTAATTATTTTTTTATTGAATAGATTTTATAAATAAAGAGACAATTAAGATATTCAGATGTTATTTCTATTTATTTTTTATCTTTCCTTTTTTAATTTTTTAATTAAATGCATTTTACAAAAAAATAAAAAAATGATAAAAAAAAAAAGTACTCACGAAAAGGCGCGAAAATTCTTTTAGTGATTATAAATATGACATAAAATACTAGAGACTAAAGACAATAGAGAGAAGTTGATACTTGGCTATTTAGTATCTATTACCAAACATCTTAATGATCAAGATTCAAGAACCTTGTTCTCCTATATATATAAGACATGTATAAGCCTCTCCTCTCATTCCTCCACAGAAATACCAACTAGTTATCGTTTAAAACAGCGGAAGACACCTAAAAAGCTTACCTCTTTCTCAAAATAATGGCTAAAACAACAGCAACTGGGCTTATCATCCTTTTCTGCCTTCAATTCTTGGTCCGTCTCTTTCCATGCCATGGCACTGATCATTGCAGCAGGGTGAAAGGGAAGGATGGAAATGATGAGATCAAAGGGATGTTTGTATTTGGAAGCTCTTTGGTTGACAATGGCAACAACAACTACCTTCGAAACTCAACTGCTAAGGCTGATTTCTTACCATATGGGATAGACTTTCCCTATGGACCATCTGGCAGGTTTACAAATGGGAAAAATGTCATTGACCTTCTTGGTGAAAAGCTTAAGCTTCCTTCTCTTATTCCAACCTTTTCTGACCCTTCAACCAAGGGAAGAAAAGTTGTTCATGGTGTCAACTTTGCCTCTGGTGCCTCTGGTATTTTAGATGATACTGGTTTTCTTGCGGTAACACCACAAATCTGTTTACTATATCACCATCATTTCACCAAAAGCACCCTTCACAAATCACAATCATTATATATATATATCATCACCATCATCATCATCCTTCGGTTTTTTGGTACCATTTTTCCTATTGTTAAATTTTAGGATGTGTTGGTTAGAAAATTAAACACAGCAATACAACAGTTGGATCATTTACTTAATCGTGCGGTGTGACAAATTAAATAAACATATAGGTCCTGGATCATTCATCATAATAGTGATATATGCTGGAATTTTAGGTGTACGCACCGGTCATGTTCTATTCTAATAGCTAGATAGCCATCAATGTTTGCTCATGTTAACATTAAATAAAGCGACATATAAACCTTCCCCTCAAACTTTTTTGCATTGCACCCTCTCTTTAAGGATAGCAGAATCGGTCTTTTACAAGTTCCGTATAGTCCAGGAAGAAAAATTTAGAGCATTCCCATCTCTTAATCCTTGCACATATGTTATGTATATAAACTTTTTGTTAGGGCTCTTGCAACAAATTAAGATAATTGGCCTTTATCAATGTACTGGCATTTACAGGTTCAAGTTATCAGTCTAAATCAACAAATAAGGAACTTTGAGAAGATTACTTTGCCAGAACTAGAAAAACAGTTGGGTTGCGGAAGCAAGGAATTACTCCAAAACTACTTGTTTGTTGTGGGGGCCGGAGGGAACGACTATTCATTCAACTACTTCCTCAGAAAACCTGACAACAATGTCAGCCTTCAAGCCTTTACTGCCATTCTCACCAAGTTACTTTCCCAGCAAATCCAGGTGCATTAACTCATTTCTCTTCTCCTTTTTAAAATCACTAACTTTGAATAGTAATCATTGTCTAAAAGTTGGATAACTTTCAATTTAAATGGATAAATTGCTTGATTTTTGCAGAAGTTGTACAATTTAGGAGGGAGGAAATTTGTGTTGATGTCGGTAAATCCACTGGGATGTGCTCCTATGGTGAACGCAGTGCGTAAGGGCAGGTGCATTAATGCTCTGAACAAGGCAGCTACTCTCTTCAATGATGGCTTGAAGTCGTTCATAGATGTGGCCAAAGCAGACATGCCAAATTCTAATCTTGTTTTTGTCAACTCATACAAGATTATAACCGATATCATCAGAAACCCTGCCTCCAAAGGTAAGATTCATGACATTATTAAAAATATTCATACACAAAGGATTTGAATAACAAAGTCAAATAATTAAAAAATTAATGTTGTTAAATTGACATGTTGGTTAAGTATTTATGCTTCAATTTTTATAAGTATGGTTAAATATCTAATTTAAAATCAATTGGTTATACGAAAATTCTTAACTTGAATACAAGATCACAACAAATTTAATGCTTAATAGATGTAGGATAATATTATTTTAAAAGGTTCCAATAATATGTAGACGAAGACAAAACCTTGTCATGAGTAGAGTAAAAGATAAGGATATAACATAACAAAACCTGATATTTGGTACCATATTAAACTTTCAAACTATCAAATAGGTACTGATAGATATAATCAATTTGAATATAAGATCATAGAAAATTTAATACTTAACATACGTAAGATATTACTATTTTAACAAGTACTTTGTTTTAACAGGTTTCAAAGATGCTAAAAATGCATGTTGTGAGTTGGTGCCATCGATCCAATTAGGAGGCAGTGGAATTTTATGCAAGAAAGGAGGGAAGACATGTGGAGACAGGAGTGGTCATGTGTTCTTCGATGGACTGCATCCAACAGAAGCAGTGAATACTCAAATAGCAACCAAGGCATTTAGCTCTTATCTTCAAACTGAAGTTTATCCCATTAATGTCAATCAACTTGCCAAGCTTTAGATTTCTAGGCTTCCAATGTATATTGGTTTGATTTCAATTACGACATACGAATTATTGCAGCAGTGAGGGATCTTATATATTATCGCTCAACATTAATCAGAGACTCATATAAATAGTTAAGTTGCTCATTAGTTTATGTACGTTTGCTACTTGGGTATGCAAATCAGACTCAAATTAATTGAGTTTAATATTATATAATTATTAATTTCAAATAATAAAGTTTTAATTAGTTTTTTTTTTTCACTTGTATTTATTGAAATCAAAGGCGAATTTACGATTATATTATTGTTAATGTTGAATTTTATCATTTTATTTTAATTTTATTAAACTAATACATAGTCATGTGCCATGCACGTGAATACGTGTTTTTCAAAATGTGTTATTACTATATTTTTAAAGTACAGTTGTAAAATATGAGGTTCGTGCCATTATTGCAAATTGTTCTTAATACCCATCAGAGTTACATGGATACTCCAAATGTATATATGTATTTGTACTACGGTTCTAATAGCCTATTCCAAGTGCTATGCCATAAATTTAATCATTCGTGTATTTGTATTTTATAATATAAATTTATTTTATTTTATTTTATTTATATATAATTATTATTAAAATTTTAAATTATATGTTACTTTTGTATATATTTTTTATATCATATTAATATCGTCTCATTATATTGTATTTTAGATGATCAGATCTATTATTTTTATTAAAATTTATCAATAATATTATGATGGAATAAGATTTAATTATTTATTAACTCTAATTTTACTTTTATTTGATAAATTTAACCCGACAAGAGATAAGTATTGAATCATTATTGATAAAAAAATATATTATAAAGAGATATCTCTCTTTTTTTCATTGTGATTGAATAATGTTTAAATTACACTTTAAAAATGATGAAATTTGTAAAAAAAAAAAAATTTTTTTTTTTATTATTATTACAAAAAGGAATAAATAAAATAATAAAATAATATCCACAATAAAAAAAAACCTTCTTCCATTTGTTTTCAAAGCTTAAGACCTAAATAGAAAAAAAAAAAAAAGAAGAAGGGAAGGTTAAGAGATGTAGACACCAAATTTGTTCGGATCTTGGTTTAAATTTTTGGATTTTATCGAGCTCACGGCCAAAGCTTGATTTTTTTTTCGAGCCCAAGCCCATCGTTGTTGTTTCATTTTTACTTTTATTCATCAGATAATAATATTAATTTATTAATTAAACACAAAAAAGAAAAAAAAAGGTACGAGGCAAGTGTCATGCCCTGGGCAAGCGCGTCAGGCGCCCAAGCCTAAGCACTAGGGATATTGGTGGGGGTTTGTGCACTAGGCCTTAGAGAAGAGTCTAGACCGCCCGCATAACATACAGGCCTGCTCGTATAGCCAGGTCCAGGCTCACAAGATGCCTGTACCATATTCAAAAAGGCCTAAGGGAGTAAATGCACTCCAGGATCTTGCAGAAGCAATTAGGATTGGTAGGAGCTTTCAGCAAGATTCAGTTGACCCTGAAAATCAGGGATGAGCCTTCTGTATTAATGTGTAATCTGTGTAGTCCTTATTTTTAAAAGATATTGTAACCCCATGATTTTAAAGACTAGTCATAGGTAGAGCTTGGGGCCTCAACTATAAATAGAGGGTTACTTCACCCTCATTTGTACATCATCAGATATTTTGCTTCAATAATAGACAATGCATATTTCAACAATTCTTTTGTTCTTTCAAGCTTGTGCATTATGTCCTTTCAGTTGTTCTAGTACCCGCACGCTTGTGTTTTAGGCTGACTTAGGCTAAAAAGAGGTGATTCCAAGCCTAAGGCCACATGGATTCTGATCTTAGGTCAGAGTTCATGATAGTTCATATAAAAGCAAGTTCAGTTCAGGTTCTACTTGTGTTTGTGTACAAGTTAGATCACAGTTAAGGAGATGGCATCCCAAAACAATGTTGCTAGCCAACAATTAGAGGCCCATGAGTAAGGCTATAGAAGGGGTAAAAAGGCCAGTTCGAAAGACATCTGGTCTACCATGGACAAGAGGCTGTCTAAAATGAAGGTGAGAATGGGTGATGTGAATAAAAAGCTTGACGATGTGGAGACTTACGTTAAGACGCTAGACTTTATGGGAGAAGAGCTGAAGGGTGAGTTGCAAGCTACTCTCAATGAAGGCCTCGACATGATCACCTAGAGAAACGAAGTCTTGGAAGCTCAGGTGAAGACCATGCGCAATGGGATGGAGGCCATGCACAGAGAGATAGAGGAGCTCAAGGGTGAGCTTGCTGCTTGCAAGATTGCCATTGGAAATGACATGTTTGCTGGAGTGTCTAAGACCTGTGTGAAGATTCTCAAGTCCAAAGAGTTTAAGGGGACAAAATAGGCCAAAGAAGTAGACAACTACCTATAGGGGATAGAGTAATACTTTCGAGCTATAAGCATGCAAGATAATGCTACCAAGGTAAGTACTACTTTAATGTATCTTACTAATGTTGCCTTATTATGGTGGAGGCGCAAGTGTGATGATGTCCAATGCGGGGACGCCATGATTGAAACCTGGGCAGAGTTTCAAAAAAAGTTCAAGGAGCAGTTTTACTCAGAGTATGCCAATGATGAAGTACAAGCAAAATTGCATAAGTTTAGCCAGTAAGGGGACATAAAGGAGTATATCAAAAAATTCTCTAAATTGATGCTTCAGATCTTGAATTTGAGTGAGACAGAGGGTCTATTTACTTTCATGTATGGGCTAAAGCCATAGGTGAAGCACGAGCTACAACGGAAGGGAATTTGTGACTTGGCTAAAGTCATGACTACTGCTGAGTCCTTAGTGGAGTTCAAACCATAAAACAAGTTTGAGTCTTCCAAGCCCAAGGGAAAGGGTAAGGGCAATAGGGATTAAGAAAGACAGTTTAAGATAAGGAACTGTACTGGTAGTCCAATGAGAGGGATCGAGATCGTTCGAACAAAAATGGTAAGAGTAAGCCACCAACAGAAAAGTGGAAAGCAAATGGAGACTGAGAGCCAATCTCATGCTACCTATGTGGAGAGGGACACATAACATGTAATTGTCTAAAAAAGGGCAGACTAGCTGCTGTAGACAATGAGTCGGATGAGGAGCCAAAGGTAGGGGTAACAAATTTTTGATCGTTGGTGCTTAATGCTGTCTAGAGTAAGGGGAACCGTAAGCCAAAAGACTTGATGTTTGTGGATCTGATGGTTGCAGGTAGGAAAGTGAGCATACTAGTGGACATAAGTGCCTCACATTTGTTTATTTCAAGTGATAGAGCCCAAAAACTTGGATTGAAGGTGCAAAAAAAAGACTGATACCATCAAAACGATAAACTCCAAGGAAGTTTCAGCCATTGGAATAGTGCGGGGAGTGGAGTTACAGCTTGGAGACTAGAAGGGTAAGAAAACCATTAAGGTAATACCCTTGGATGATTATGAGTTTGTGATTAGTTAGACTTTTTTATTCAGATCAATGCCTTCTTTGTGCCTTTTACCAATTGTATATGCATTCTGGATGCACGGTGTCAATGTTTTGTACCATTGAGGCACAGGTCTAGGATTAGGTTTAAGGTGGTGTCGGCCATTCAATTTGCCAAGATGGTGAGCAGGGATAAATGCATCTTCTTGGTAGCCTTAAAGTATGAGAAATTGAGAAAAAATGAGACAACACCCTCTTAGAGGTGCTATAGGTGCTAAAGACCTTTAGTGATGTGATGCCCACAAAATTGCCTAGCAAGCTGCCATCCAAGAAGAAGGTGAACCATAAGATTGAGCTAGTGCCTGAGGTTAAGCCACCAGCTAGAGTCTCTTATCAGATGTCCTCACCACAGTTGGAAGAGTTGAGAAAATATCTCAATAATTTGATTGATGCTGGCTTTATCAGGCCATCTAAGGTATTATATGGTGCCTCGGTTCTATTCCAACGTAAACATAATGGGTAATTACAATTATGTATAGACTACCAGGCTTTGAACAGGTTGACCATTAAGAACACGTATCCTATCCTACTCATTGAGGACTTGTTCGACCAATTTGGAGGCGTAAGGTGGTTTATCAAGTTGGATTTGAGGTTAGGTTATTACCAGGTCAGGATCGTGAAAGAAGATGAGTCCAAGACAACGTGTGTCACTCGGTATGGCTCGTTTGAGTTCATAGTCACGCCATTCAGACTCACCAATACCCTAGCAACATTCTATACACTAATGAACAAGGTACTTCAATCGTTCCTTGATCGTTTTATTATGGTTTATCTATATGATATTATGATTTATAGCCAGACGTTGAAAGAGCATGTATACCACTTGAGATAGGTGTTTGAGGTGTTACGAGTGCACAAGTTATATGTCAAGAGGGAGAAGTGCTCATTTACCCAGCAAGAGATCCCGTTCTTAGGCTATATAGTGGGAGATAGTAAGATACGCATGGATAAAGGCAAGGTGCACGCCATCCTAGAATGAAAACTGCCAGCCAAGGTTATGGAGTTGAGGTCATTCCTTGGGTTGGTCAACTACTACAGAAGCTTCATCAAAGGCTACTTAGCCATAGCCATGCCATTGACTGACTTGTTCAAAAAGGAAAGAGCATGAGAGTGAAGTGCAAGGTGTCGAAAAGCTTTTGATTAGTTGAAGTAGGCTATGATCGAGGAGCCAATCTTAGTCTTGCTAGACCATACCAAGCCATATGATGTGCATACGGACGCATCAGATTATGCAATAAAAAATGTGTTGATGTAAAATGGTCATCTGATTGTATTTGAAAGCTGTAAGTTCAATACGACAGAGAACAGATACACAATCTAAGAAAAAGAGATGATTGTAGTGGTGCACTACTTGCACACTTGGTGTCATTACCTATTAGGGTCGAGGTTCATGATCAGGACAGACAATGTGGCAACTAGCTACTTCCAAACGCAGAAGAAGCTATCCCCCAAGTAGGAGAGATGGCGGGATTTTCTTACAAAATTTGACTATAGGTTGGAGTATAAACCTAGATGGGTAAACCTAGTGGCTGACATGTTAAGCAGGAAGGTGAGCCTAGCTGTCATTAGCCAACTAGAGGGTTTTTTGGTGCCGCGCATCAGAGAAGGGCTCGCGCATGATCCTATAGTCGTAGTTCTCATCGAGCATGCC